AGTCGTGGTTTGACGTTCCTCTCAGGACATCAGTTTGGTTTAAAAAATTATGAAACAATATTTACAGACAAAAAACAAACAATTGAATTTCAACCGTTCACAATTAAAAAAAAAAAGATAAATTATTTAATATTCACAGTCAAGTCCTGTGTGCAGTAAACCAGGCTCAACAGAAACTTCTTTTTGCAGAAGATTAAAAAACAAACAGGGTTTTGTTTCCATTGTTTTCACATGTTTTTGAATATCTGAACAAATATTATCTGAAGTACAACAAAGTGACTTTGGAAAGCTGGTGTTATATGTACTGTGTGGTACTTCAGAGTACACAAAGTATTCAAGGAGAAATACATAAATCAAAAACATATTTATTTAAAGTAAAACTACATAAACATCATGATTTTGTACTCGTTTCTGTTGTATTTGTTTTTACTTTATCATCTGTGTATTTATGTAGTACTCAGTGGTACATTGAACAGTTTTACAGTTTCCACCTGTTGTTAATATTTCAGACCAGGTTCCATTGAATGAACAGATCCATAAACAGGAGAACTCACCTGAAGGAGCGGAGTCTGATTGGAATTCCGAGTCAGGAACGTTTGGTTCCAGTTTCCCAACGATGTAAAACTTCCCAGGAGTCTTGACTGTGATCGTTCCTTCTCCACAGTCCAGAGGAGGAGGGTGGGGACGAGGGGACCTCCTGGTCTGACCTGGCCTCCCCCCGTGGAGGTCAGCGGGGTCACCGGCGCTCAGTCCGGCTGCAGGTGTGTGAGTGTGTCCAGACCGGTCCTCTCCGGTGCTGGGTGGACGTTTGCGGCCTGTTCCTGCTGCGTTGCTGACATTGTGTCGGGTCAGAGGAGGAGGAGGAGCGGGTCCGGACCGGACCAGCGAAGACAGGACGGTGACGGTGACGGAGCAGACGAGCAGGACGCTGACGCCGCTGCTGCTTCCTTTTTCTTTCACATGCATCGTTTCTCTCTGTGCACGTAAGCACTGGGGCAGAGTGGAGAGCTGCTGTGGGTTTTCAACACTTCCTGTCCACACACCTGGACGCTAATCAGCCAGAGTGGCAGCTGCAGGGTGGCAGTGGGTTAGTGTGGAGGAGTGTCTTTGTCAAAGCTGCTCAGACATTTAGTCTCCAAATATTCTCTCTGCGTTATTTACCGACACACAAACAGTGACAAAAAGTGTTAAAAGTAAATCTGCAGCTAAAGATTTTTTTGGTGAGACCTTTAATTAATTATAATGAAAAAGTCTCTGATTAAATTATTTAAATCTGAACGACACCACTGTAAGAGCTCTGTCATCAGAATTATTATTTCGTTGTATTTTTAGAGAGAAAAAAACAAACAAAAATCCCACTAATTTTCTCCGATTTAATCTTTAATTATTTTAAATTAATTCAGAAATGATTACACAACATACATCTAACTAATATTATCATTACTATTATTATTAACATCAGGTCGGAGGCGTAACCTTTTTTTTTTTTGTTTTAACCGAAGAAATTCAAACGTAAAAACGCTTTAGTTCTAGTAAAAATATGGCCACTAGAGGGAGGCCTTGCATTGCAGTCGGGCGCATCTAGACCGTCTCTTTTACGATTATGTTGTTGCTACTGTTACTATGTCCGCGACAACATAACATGGAACATTATTGTTGACCTTTGACCCTAAAATAAGTCCTTCTTTATTTTGTTATTTAGTTATAATTTTTAAAATATATGTTCTACTCTACCTGTATTAATTTCTTTTTACAATTTTATTATTTACAAAAAAATAATTTTCTATATTCTAGATTATTTATTAATATCAACAATGTCATTGTATAACAATAAATCCTTGAATCTTTAAACTCTAAATCTTCCAGCTGACTCCTTAGCGACAGATTCCACGCCGTCAGTTCATTAACCACGAATCGGATGTTGTTTCGTTTTCTGCCAACTCCGGCAGACGACTGAAAGGTGGATCTCAGCGAGCAGCTCTGCCCAGCTGTGATCCGTCATCACATTGTGGATAATAACGTTATCAACCGGGGCCAGACCGGAGTTTTTTTTTACAGCCTCGTCCTCAAGGTTAGAGGAGCAGAGGAAATCAGATTAACTTCACATCTGTGCTGTTTGAACAACTTCTTTA